TGTATATATATATGTTTTATGTCCATCTTTCATCATTTTTGTGGTAAAGTGGGACGAAAAAAAATCTAATTTCCTTATCTGCCCCTCACTATTTTACAAGAAATATAGCCCAATTTCTAAGCGTGTAAAGTGCTGATGACAAACAAACACTGACGACGCACCTATGTCTATAACAGCATCCAGGTGCTCTTGCATATTAAGCCATTTTGTGGCCACATAATTAAAGACAGAAGCTATTGTCATGATTGGTGTGAATCTTGATTCCAGGTGGCAAATGGTGTCTTAATGCGTCCTTGAAAATTAAGGCCAAGTTTCGGCAGTTGAATTGATCCCACCATTTTTGAATTGAGGCCATCATTGTCAGTAGATTTTCATTATACCCTTTTGTGTGTAACGATGGCTCAAGGTGTGAATCAGTCCTAATCACTCCATTTACTCATAAAATTAAAAGTAATCTATTATGTGATGAGACTTCAGTGAAGCACCATGTGTTGAATCAACTGACACACACACACACACACACACACACACACACACACACACACACACACACACACACACACAAAAAGATTTAAGAAATACATGCAAACAAATCTGAATTGCTTGACATTTTTCGATACACTACAAATAACTAAATTATGTGACTTTTTGGAAATAAAAGACAAAAACTTTATGCTAATTGATGAATGCACACAGGAGTCAGTGCAGACAGCATTTATGATAGTTCATTCATAACCAAAAAAAAAAAAAGATTTGCATGAAGATGATAGCTGAGGAAATCTCATTGGAATACCTGGATCCCTCCCCTCAAGCCTTTGAGGAGAAGGTTAGTTTCAGTTCAGCAGTTTTCAAGTAATGCATTCATTAGTTGATTTTTGTCTGTACTAAAAGGAGTACTATTGAGTGCATAAAGATTTTTGTTGTTTTGTTTGTTTTTGAAGCCCCGTCCTGGACAATTTATTTGTTTCTCTACAGGAATTGAACTTTGCTGCAGGACTAAAGATGAACGAGTCAGCAAATTACAAACTTAAGATTTTTTTAAATCAAAATTTAGAAAAGTTTCTCACTTCTTTAAATTGGATTTGCAGTGCACAGATAATTTCAAAAGACATAGATCAACACGAAGCAATTAAATTTTCAATCTGCAATGTCAAAGATATTTGGCTCATCTATAATATCAAGTGCACGCAAAAAGGCTACAATTATGAATTCAGCAAAGTCACCCTTTTATAGCCCATCAATATTCTGTGGTGACTGCGGGAAGCAGTGTTTAACGAGGGGATCCAAGGGATAAATGATCAAAAACAAGACAGCTATTGTCCTTGAACTCTTAATGGAGTACTAATAAYACAAGGTGTCAAGAATGATTTTAACAAGTTATGTCCCAAGTCAAACTTTTCTTTTTATTTTCTCACTCTGCTTTTGGAATTGGAGGAGATCTCTTTCTTTCTCTCTCTCTCCTACTGTCATCACATTACCAACCCAGGCACTCAGTTTGCATAATCAMCATCACTTGTGTTTCCTCGTGCAGTTTGGAAAGGGTAACTCATTACAGTAGAGAAAGGCTCCTTTTAACTGAGCCACCATTGTGYAGTGAAGAAAACCCCTCAAAATACTGGCTTTGGTTCTTTAGTCTGAGTTATACAAAGCCACCATGATGTTGCCGCAGTGTATGAATTAGAGGCAGGACGTGTAACACAAAGGCCCCGGTGTCTGGCTTCTAGCATCTAAAATKTGAACACATTTGATGATGTTCTTTGCATGAAGAGGAAGAGGCTCTTTAACTTATCTGTGCCTTAAAATGTAAAATCGATTCATTTTATTTTATTTCTTTAACGAGTCTATATTGTCCTCCATCTTTCATGCCAGAGTTTTAAGTTGCAGAGTTAAAACTGTTTTGTCAACGTCTCATAAATGACATTGTGTGAYCTCATGTTGTATTGAGATTTTGCAAGAACTTCTGGTTGAGGATGATATTTAGTAATTACCATGCCATATGTTAGCTGATTATCTGTACAAGTGAATGAGTTGTAGTCATGTTTGTGTTTATTTAATTTAAATCAAACTCTGGTTTGTTTACCCTCTTGTTGTAGTTCATTTGTGTAGACTATCATCACTTTTAGGTGGAGACAAAAACAATTGTATTGTTTTGAGTAACTGGTCTCGGTGCAGTGTCAAATGAGTCTCAGAGTATTATATATATATAATGGGTGCAACAATACATGTACCCGTATCGAACCATTCAATACAGAGCTTTAGGTTTAGTACACACTTGTATCGAACAATACAGATTTTTAAAATTTATTTTATCAACTTGTCTTCTGAAGATTATCTTTGTTGAAGGATCAGTGGATCTGTGTTCGRCTACTCCACCTAGGCTGCATTGTCGAGCRCAGATCCACTGAGAAACTCACTGTTTCAGCAACATTTAATTTAAAAACTGTACTTTTGAGGTTAAACAAATGTTTTTTTAAATTAATTTAAATAAATTTCAAGTTAAAAAGGGCATGGACATTTCTCTTTTTTGTATCAAAAAAGTTGAACCGTGAGACTAAAGTGTTGAACCAAACTGAATCGTGAGATTTTGTATCATTGCACCCCTAATATACAGTTTGGTGTGAGCGTGATCTGAGATTGATCTGATAAAACTATCAGGTGTAAGTGTGAGTTTGAGCAAAATTTAACAAAGTTTGCTTTACATTCACATTGTTGATGTTTTCAACAGTTGCTCCTTTTTCCTGATCAGTCTTCTAAGGCTAGCTGTCTTCTTCAAAAAACATAATCAAGGAGTATTATCAAAAAACAAAAAAAAAATCTCAAAAATGACATGGCTTTCTGTTCATACTGTTTTGACTAAAAAAATACTCCTATAAATACTGATACTCAAAACATTTTTGTTGTACAGCTGTCATTTTAATAAAACCCTAAAACTGAAAGTCTGTAAGTTTTCACAAACATCTAAAAGTTCTCAGTATAACAGATTGGAAAACAAGCACAACACGACATGAATTTATTTTTCACACCATCACTGTAATTAACCGCAAACGACTTCCTGTTGTTGACACTCTGTGAAGTCTGTGGCAAGTGTACATTATTAAACAGCTATTGTTTAGGCTCATGTGGAAATCTGATCTCAACACGATACTCATGTTACAGTTTATTCATGTTTYAATTGCAACTATGCAAATTTGAGAATGACAGTGCTCACATTTGGCAGTTTAAGCCAGAGGCCTGTAAATTGAATAGCTTTTAGCTAGGTAGCTTTAATAGCTGGACTTTGAAAATGTGTTGTTGTAATGCAATCCTAACAAAAATGCCATGACTGTGTCTTTTTCATTCCATCTTTTAACAAGTAGAAACAGGTAGAAAGTTTAAATTAATCTCTGGATTGGATAAAACATTATAAAAAAAGGCCTTGATTCGATTGCATATTTTTAGTACATCACTAACATTCAGTCTCTGAAAATAATGTTTTGCTTGTTTTTAATTGGAAAAGTATTTTACTCTCCTGGTTTGTGGTTTTTTTTTTTTTTCATACATAGGGCCTTGTTTGCTATATTGGCTTATAAATCTTACAAAACCGTATTATGCATCTGTTGGTTTTTAATGATACAGAATTCAAGTCATAATCACAAATAAGAAACTTTTTATTTGCAAATGTTGCCCCCCTCTCTTCTTTGCCCTTCCTTCCTTCTTTTCTCGGTCAAAACAATGTTCACTGGCTATTGGTTACAAAWAGCAATTCATAAGCTAGTTCATTTGTGAAATGTTTCATCCTAATATTTTATGACCATTTTTTTCATTGCCTCTTAATAGTGCCTCTTGTCTTCATTGACTTTCATTGTGGTTTTCTATTATTTGAAAGTGCAATATYGATTACAATCGCTGCTTATAAATCTACCCAGAATGTAACCTATTGCTTTTTCCTTTTTTCCCATATTTTCTTCCTTGCAGATAAAAAAAACCTGAGCATAGGGAAAAGAGGAAAAGAAGAAAAGAGCAAAGAATAGAACATGGCTGAGGGGATGATCGCTTCAGATTGTGGTAAGCAAACATTTACAGCAGACTTACATCGTTTCTGTGGGACTCTGGGTGAATGATCCCTGATTTTGGCTTTGTTTTTGGTCAAAAAGGTTTAGTGCTTAATGTGTACACAATGATTGCATTTAGCAAGGTTCAAAGTGAGTGGTGTTGCATGTGTGGAAAGGACTGATTACTGGCAAAGTTGGTGAATAAAAAATTGACAACATCCTGGCAATCCATTAAAGAAAACATTATAAAGATGGTTTGTGGAAATTAACCCCACTTTAAAAAGCAGGAGAGTGTTTTGATGACTAAATTGCCCAAAGTAGATACTAAATTTTCTGGTTAATTTTGATTTTGTACTGCTTTAGCCAACATTTTCATTGTTTTAATCTAATTCAAGTGCAAATTCAGAATGCACTGAAGTATATTYGTGCAGTTTTGGTGAAATGTCAACTTTCGTCTGAACACCGATTAAACCAGAAATTCATGCTGCCCGCTGGACTTCTGTGTTTGCTCAGATCTCTCTCAGCAGATCTCACCTTACAAGATTGTTTGCATTGAGACTGGGCTTCACCTGCACTTTGAGCATCAGAACTTTCTTGTGCAAGCACTACATAAATGTCTTAAAATGACAATCTCATGGACCTTCTGCAAGAGCATTATTTTACACATACAGGCCTATAAATTATCTCTCTGAGATAACCAGCATTTATTTACAGCCATCTTGACTTTGACTCTATGATTCATTTATTTTGCCTTCTTAAAAATAATAAATATCCTTAAAGCATCATTATTCTCTGTTTTTAGTCTTGATCTTTACATTTCCAAAGCAGTTTCTGCTCCTCAGCTCTGCCTCGCCTACTTACACCTGTTTATAAACCCAACTGTCTGCTCACTCGTTTCTAGTCTGTCAATTTAGTACATTTGAATGATTCTCCTCTGCTCTCACAGTATTTTTTACTGCCCTGTCAGCTTTTTGCATTAGATTTATTTATTTATTAGATTATTTTGTAATTAGTTTGCTGCCTTGTTCATGAAATTTTCTTTCTGACCAAGCTCTTATGTAAGCATGTGAGTCTCTGTGTCACCAAGTAAACACACTGCAAAAAATGTCCACCTAAACAAGYTTTTAAATCTTACATCCAGCAAAAAAGTCTTTTTGAACTTGTTTTGAGACTGATTTACTAAACAAGAACTGATTGTGTCAGAATAATAATCTTGTTTTCAGAATGTGTAAGATTATTTGTCTGGTTAGTCTGAAATTTTGACTCAAATTAAATCAAAATTTCTGCCGATGGAGTAAGAAAATTTTACTTGGTAAAATTCTTGAAATACTTGATTTGACTCTTTTTTTTTCCTTGTTTCAAGTATATTACCAAGTAAAATTTTCTTATTCCACCCCGCGGGTACGATTGCTAATTTCAGGTGGGGGTTAGGTTTAGGGCCAAGTTGTGAATTGAGTTTAGGTTAGTTTCAGGGTCTAGTTTTAGGGTCAGGTAGGTACCTGTGTGGTTAATTTTATGATAAATAGTCAGGATTAGGCTATAAAATTGCCAAAAAAAATGAATAGAAGTCAATCCAGGGTGCCCACAAGGATATCAAAACAAACCCATGTGTGTGTTTGTGAAAGGTGGAGGGGTGAGCAGCATTTTCTTTCCTCCTGGATATTTGGTCACACAGAGCATTCTTTAAATTTACAATGAGCACATGAACTCACAGCTTCTAAAGAAAGCACCTATGATTTATTAATAATTTACAGGCATGGATTTCAGGTACTGAGTCTTTCAAAAACTGTGTAGGAAAAGTCACTCTTGCAGGCTACCAATGTTGATGTCTACTTAATATTGTTTAGCACATTCAATACTTGGAAATTAGGTATATTATTTTTTTGTATATTGACACACAAAGACTATTTGATACCTTAGGTGTTAGACATTTTTGAATAGTTTATTTGAAAAAAAAAGTGTGCTAAATCTATAAGCATTACCAGTTTTGCTTGCCCTATCTTTATGAACCAGATTGAACCTGAAAAATAAGTTAATATTGTATTTTTTCTAATACACTGTAGCTTCCTATGTTACTGAATATCTACAGCTAAAACAATTTCAAGGGTAGCCCCATTGTAAGGTGGTAACAAAAAAAAAAACACTTGATATGTACATCTCTGCACAACTTTGAGCATTTGATTTTCCACTGTCATGTTTGCTTTGCCTGACAAGCTGAAAGCAGATCCATCATTTCTGAAGCAATCCCCAGTATTTCAGAAAAAATAAAGACTGTCTTGACAAGAGTTTTTATTCACAAGTCAAACTTGGCTTGCTAGTGGCAGAGCTTTTGTCAGTTTTTAGATTGTGTCACTTTATGAATTTGCATGCATTCATGAGCACAGGGATCTGCAACATGCACTTGTGTGTTTGCATGCTCAAACTTAAGTAAAGGTGACATGGCTGTGTGGGTAGATGCATTTGCATCTCAGTTTGAGGGAGAAAGAAGATGAAAGGAGCCTGGCACTGCTGCATTAAAGGGTGGAAGTTTCTAGACAGACAATGTTGTTTCCTCAAAATCACCATTAAATCCTAATATCCTGGCTTCGTGGGTGGAGCCAGCCTAGCACGGGATTGTGTCTTGCATCTAAATCAAGAACATGTGTTTGTTCGCAGAGCCTCATTGATATGCACTTTGATACGTCTTTTCTCAGCCTCACATGTCTGGATGCACCTGCTGATCATGCAGCTGTTGTTTTCACTAATGTTGCGTCTAATGTTTCTCTGTAGACTATAACACCTTGAATCGGTTACAGAGAAAGGGAAGACACAACTCTCAATGAAGTTATTATTGTTTGTGTATAAGTTGTCACAGATTACATCACTGCATCACATCGCTGAGGTTTTGTTGCAGGCAATTTCACAATCTATGCACAAACATGTAATTAAACATGTAGATTAAGAGGTTAAATTTTTAGAATACCCACTGAATGATCCAACTGGCCATTTTAATTTTGATAAAAACTTTTAAATAGTTTTGTATTGACTTAAAGGTGCAATATTATGTGTTTCTCAGGCATATATTTAAATACTATACCATAACAAAGTATCTATGTCACCTTTAGTTGTTATTAAAATGCTGTTTTTATTTTTAAATAGAAAATAAACTTATCTTCTCATCACTTCCTCTTCTAAACGCCTT